GAACGCATATTGTGGAAGACTGGAGGCAGCGTGCGACGGAGGCAGAGGAAGCGCTTGTGAAGATGGCGGCGAGGGTGGAGGACAAGCAGTGGGCGTATTGGGAACAGCGGGAGCTGCTGGGACGGGTCTTGGAGGTAGGGGAGAAAGGTTTCGGGGGGGCGCAGGGAGGGAGGGACGGAGGGAGGGAAGGAGCACGACATTTACCCTCCTTGTGCGCCCCTCTCCCATTTTCAAGTCCTCCCTCACCTCCGCCTTCGGCTCTCCCCTCCTCTTTTCTCTAGGATATCGTGAATCTCGCTTATTCAGAGGCCCAGTACGACGGGGCTATCGGCGCCTGCTCTCCTGCTTCTCCCTCGACCTCACCCATCTGCCTCCTGAACGATGCAGAGTGGAGAAAAGAATCGTTGCGGTCCATCATGCGTCTGGAAAGAGAGGCGAAGGTGAGGGGATAGGAATAGGGGGAGGGGAGGGCGGATATGCATGTTATCATACCTGAAAAGGTATATATTTACTATATTATAAGTCTTTCACTTGTCGTGGGCTTGTGGCTCCCACAGGCATGCCTTCGGAACAATCCTTTAGCAATGGCTGTACCATCATGGGAAGAAGGCATTCGCGAGGGCGAATTGATGGAGGAGCCGTCTGAAGAGGAGATGCAGGAAGGAGAACAAGACGTGGATGAGGTCCTGCTCAGTGAAGGGGAGAAAATGGAAGGGGCTTTGGCATCCGAGAACAGGGAATGGGGAAGAGACAAGGTGAGTGAAGACGACGAAACGAGGGAGGAGGGAGAGATGGAGGAAAGGGAGATGATGATGGCATGGAGTAAGGAAGATAAAGAGGTGACTCTGGAGGATGAGGCATTTAGGTAGGATTTTGTTGTGGAATAAAACATGTGATGAAGGGAAAAATATGGAAGAGAAGAACTGAGGCGAAGGAAGTATGGATCCTGCAAGATGCCCTACCGCATTTTTCATATTTATCTTCAATGTAATGAAAGGGGAATAAGACAAACGAAAGCGTGATTGTAGGTCACAGACGGATGTAAAAGCAAATTTTAAAAACGCCGGCGTCGACTGAAAGTTTCTTCATTGTAAGCGTATGAGACGTAACTGTACGTGAGTCTATTTTGAAAATAAAAATAAAAAATTCGCCTGATGTTTCAGAAAATAAGCTGAAGTATAAAAATTTGCGCGCGATGCATATTTGTAAACATTATGGACGTAGAGATTGATTAACGGCATCCGTATTTGTCTGTCGCGAAGAACCTCCCACCTCAGAACAATTATCTATCACCCTTGACTTTACGATCCTCGTCACAACACTGCGAGTATACATATACACATATATGTGTGTATATATAAACATCAATATCACGGATATTGACTGGACCTTTCATTTGTTGAAGGCGAAATGACCATGCGTGCGGGAAATCCCGCCGACCGTTGCGCGTAACGGTTTTCGTCGGAATGCGTGCTTTCTTCCACATACTCCTTCTTTTTCACTGAAAGTCTCCACGCTATCATTTAATTGTAGAGCTTAGATCTCATGGATTTAAACATATTTTGTTGATATGCTGGTGACTTTGTCAGATCATTCAATCCTTCTCACGATTCAAAGTGCTCACAAGATGAAACTTTCCTTTTTCCTGAATTGTGATGCTCTTGCCATTGCCAAAGGGGGGCTTTGATCCCTGCTTTCTTTTTAGATACCAAAGCAATTCATCTCTTACAACGATCGTCGGTTACTTTCATGCTCCATATCTTCAGTAAATTTTG